CCCCCGAATCCCAAAAAAGAAAACCCAGAGGGGGGGGTGGGGTTGGGGGGTTTGGGGGTTTCCCCAAAAAAAAAAATCCCGTGGTGAAAATTGAATATTTACCCCGGCACCCCAAGTGGAAAAAGGGGGGGGGGGGGGGGGGGCAACAACAACCTCCAACTGTTGCTCACGGACCATACGACGTATCGTACCGACTGGGAACACTACATCCGGACGAGCGAGGACGATTGGCGGCCGCCTCTAGCAGAGATGTCGCTTGTCCATCTACCAAAGATGCAAGAAATGATCTGAAGCATTCCACTGCGATCGACCCTCGGCTGTGCACCAGCAGCGGGTAGAAAATTGCCTGCTAATTACTCGACCATCATCGCTACGGCAGCGGCATTATAGCATCGCCGCCAATTGCGCTATAACTGCCTGCTACTTACGCCAATCCCTTTCTTCTGCGGTATGCATACGTCCACTCGCGTCGAATGACGCACACATGCATACCGTAGGAACGAAGCGACACACCGAAGCTAAAGCTTGCACCATGTCTGATGACACATACTTATGAACTCAAACACCGAGGCTGGCAAGAATGTCTACCAACATTTGCGAACGAAATGTCGAGGCTGGTAGTTCGTATCTCTACTGAAACGTGCGTACCGACACACCGTGGCTGCAACTTAGGTCTAAGCCACTTGGCTCGCGGTCCCGATACCGGAAAACCCAGAAGAGGAGCTCTAACTGGCTTCGGGCGTTCTTTGGTTCGGCTCATGATGCCCACGAGAAATCCTCTCATGATACACACGGGAAATCCCATATTGTGTTACACACCTTCTTCTGGGTATTCGGGCAGTAGGTGATGGTGAGGTGGACCTCCGCTGTGGAATCAGCCGGGCGGGCGGATTTAACGACCATCGGCAAGACCCCTCGCGCCTTCGTCGGGTGCAACGTCTCCCATAGCTCGAAGCTCTGGCCACTCCGCCGAAACTTGGAAAGATCGAGCCTCGCCTCTCCTTCCACCGAACTGGGGGGGGGGGGGGGGGGGGGGGGGGGCCCCCCCTAAAAAAAAAAGGGGTATTTTA